GAAAAAATGAATAAATTGTGGGTGGCTCGTGAAACAATGCCAAAAAAATAGAGAAAACAAAACAGTAAAAAAAAGTAATAAAACTTAGGAAAAAAATTTTTTGTTGTCTCCTTGTGAAGTTCAGTTGGTCGTAACTTTTGACTCACATCCAACTTCACATGTTTCGTATCATTTCCTGTGAGTATAGAACGGCGAAGTATGTGGATATTTTTGTTTACTAACACAGTATAATATGAAGGATGGTATGTAATGTGGATTTGGGACACCTGTTCTGTGACTCCAGCTCCAGGTTTTAATGTCTGCCAGAGTGGTGGTCCTCCCTGGTGTGTGTGTGTGTGTCTGTGTCTGTGTGTGTGTAATCACAGTGGGTTCCCATCCATTCTCATGGTAATTGGAGCTCTGGAATGGAGTTGTTGCAGCAGGACGCACAGTCCTCCACAAGGCTCAGGAGCTGGACTTCAGATTGACAATGGACTATCTTAGAATGGATGGCGTTGTTTGAACCATCATGTGTGTGTGTGTGTGTGGAGAGAGAGGAGGGGCGTGTTTGTTTTTGAAGGGGTTTGAAGAAAGTTGCGAGCAGCAGGTGGGTGACGCCTCATCATCTTCTCCTTTCTCTCTCTCTCTGTACGAGGCAGTGAAAATGTAGAGGCTTGGAGGGCGTCAGTGAATTCTAGGGAAAATGTTTCTTCTGATGTTTGTTTTTACAGGAAAGCTGATAAAGGACTGTAAAATTAAATCTGCAATTATCAACATGCCATTCTTTGATCTTTTTTTTTTTTTTTTTTTTTTTTTTTTTTTTTTTGCCTAGTGATACCCAGGGATTCATCTCACAAACCCTCCAGTCGCAGTCTCACTAATCTTTTGGAAAGCTTATTTTCTCACTGAGCTGTCATTTGTTTGCTCGAGCTGATATCCACTACTTTGTTTTAGTCAAACCCTTGATGACCCGTGCTAATATATCTGCTGTGACTGTGACTGTAGTCATACTGGGTGTCTGAAGATAGGAGGCGAGGCGTAGTGGGAGATGATGTCTGGTTTGTGTCATTTTATGTTGCCATAAAATATACTCCCTGTTGTGACAGACCCAGATGAGTCTGCTTAGTGCGAGCTTAGTGTTGAACATGATTCATAAGGAGTTGGGTAAGGATAAAGAGCTGGTTTCAACTTAAAAGCATTTACAAAATTTTTAAGGCTCCTGTTTTAAGAAGCAGGTTTGCCGAAGTCTCTGGATAACTGAGTAAATCCAAACCTCCCCAAATCTGGAACATGGACTGATTTTAAAATGAGCTATTCCATGTTTTACTACTGCAAAGATATATGAGATTCTCTGACTGTGCTGTTTTTTTGGAAACCGGCCCCTGCTCTACTCTACAGTATTGATTCCACCTGTTGAAGCCTGTGACTTAGGGCTGGGAGTTTGTGTTCAAGTGAGGCTTGAGTAGGGCAAAAAGAAAAGATACACATTGTCTGATTATCTTTTACCACTTTGAAACAAACAGTCCACCAGGTTGCTTCAACATTTGTTGACTGCATTTATTGTGGGTTTTCTACATTTCCTCAAGCTTGTGCAAGTACATTTGTTAACATTGAAGCCTTAACAGAAAGTTTTTCCTGCACAGATGTTGTCTTTAGGGTTTTTGCCGTTTACATTTGTGTTCTTGTATATGCTGAGGCTTTCTTTTCAATGAAGCAGCTCAGTTTTTGCTCCACAGAGAGCAATAAAAACCAAAGTAATTCTGTAGGACCTGTCAGAAAAAGGGTACATAAAGATTCAGATGACAACTAATTAGTAATGGAATCAGAATCAATTAAAAGACTTTTTCAATTCCTGTCTGCATTACGGGTGGACAGGGAGAAAAGACAGAGTGAAGGGAGGGAATCAAAGGAGCACAGTTCTCCTGCCTTCATTAACCTAATTAATCCATAACCCTGTACATTTCAACAGACTACACAGGCAATCTCTTTGTTTTATTTTCCAAACTCTCTAATATGTGGAACCAGGTCAGTGTTTGAATGTAACTCATTTATTAACCCTCATGCTGCCAGATCTCTGTACAGACACCCATAACCCCCTGCAGAGTCATGGCCCCTCTTTCCCCCCTTCTCTAGAGGTTTTTCTCACCGTAATATTGATTACACGAAAACGTATTTCTTCTGTGTCGCTCTAATTCTTTATGTGTGTGTGTCTGAGTCTACTGTATAGAGCTAAGGCTTACTGTGTGCTGTACAAGGTCCACACACATCCAGATCTATTCAAACACTTCGCCCTCACCTCCCTTTATGCTGAGGTGAGACTACAAGAACAGCACTGCCATTTTTTGGTCGGTTTAATTAAGAGTGATGGATGCTGTTGAGTTTTTTTTTTTTTTGTATAATTACTTCACACATTAGGTCCTCTATCCCTCACATTATTGCAGATATTGAATTGGTTAGCAATCAACAGGTGCTAAAAATCAGCCTGCAGCTAGACAGTAATGAAGTGACAGCTGACTGGACTTAATCGACAGGGAAATGAGCTGGCCTGAGTTCAGCTCAGAGATTTTCTGACTTTGGAGACTCAAGCAACAGCTGGGAATAAAATTCATAGAGCAATAATTCGAAAACTAGTTTGACTATTTGAATTTGCTGGCCTCGTACCACGTTGAGGTTTTCAACAGCAGGTTGTTGTTTGCACTGAGTAATTAGTCTCTCTGATCGCTGGCATTCATTCACAGGTGCGTGTGATTCACTGATACTAAGTGTTTGTCATACAGGTGTTGGCTAGGTGACACCTGACCGTATGAGCTCCTGTGATTTAGTGTTTGGTCGTTTATAGAACCTCATTTCTCTCAAATTCAGTTGTAAGATATAAAATACTTTGGAATAAATTCTCAATCACCAACTAATGAATTGCAGCTTTGCTTTAGGTTAGATTGTAAATGAACTGTGTGTGTGTGTGTGTGTGTGTGTGTCTGTCTGTCTTGCAGTCGTGCAAACGTGTGTGATGCCTGTACTCTCTTTATAATACTTCACAGAACAATTAACAGTGGAATTACAAAGAAGTGGGTCAAAACATGGCAATGCAGTTTCACATGTTGCTTTTTATGGAAATAACCACGTATTTAAGCATGTGAAGTGGAGCATATGATGTGGTTGTGTGCCTGTGTGTGTGTGTGTGTGTGTGTGTGTGTGTGTGTGTGTGTGTGTGTGTGTGTGTGTGTGTGTGTGTGTGTGTGTGTGTATATAGAGGATCAAACGTGGGAATGAGCCGATTGATTCCAATTAAATTCTGAATCTTTTGTTGTCAGTGTCTCTTTGTATTGTGCTGCCGCTCTGACTTTTGAAACCCATCAGCGAACTACTTTCTCACCAGAGGGGGGAAATGGTGGTGGTGGGTGGGGGGGGGGTTGCTGCGTTGTCAGAGCAGCAGCGATGGATGCTGCAGAGGGTACATGGTGCAAGCGGTGAGAAAAGCTCCTTTGAGTTGAGCTTTAGCCAAGTCACGTGAAAAGAGAGAGAGAGAGAGAGAGAGAGAGAGAGAGGGTGGGAGGGAGGGAGACAAAAGGCAGGTGGCCAAGTATCTGAAATACATTTCCGCTCACAAAATCTCATACATACATTTTGAAAATTTTGTCTGAAAATTAAAAAAAAAAAAAAAATTGGGCTATAAACTTTGATTCCTATTCAATATTCCCTTGAGAAATGGGGTTTTAATAGGGATTACTGCTTTTGTGTGAATTGAACAGCAAAACTGCAAGGTTGTAGCAGTCTGGTTGTGTGTGTGTGTGTGTGTGTGTGTCTGTCTGTCTGTGTGTGTGCGTGCGTGTGTGTGTGTGTTTGCAAATTCCTGCGTGGGGTAACAGGAGGGTAAGCAGAGTTAACTTCATTAGCCTCTGACAGCATCTGTTCGGTGGTGACGCCACCTTCATCCATCGACGCAACGCAGCACATGCTGAGTCTCCCCTCTCTCTCTCTCTGAGCTATTAAAGGTCCCCACACTGAAATATACACAACCTCTCACTACAGCGGTGATTCACTCGTGGTGGCCTCTTCTACTGCCCAGTACCTGTCATCGTCACAAATAACCCAAGATCCTATTGTGCTCGTTGAGCATTCAAAGATACTGTAAATACTGTATATAGATATATTATAATAGTCAGCAGTGGTGGAAAGTAACTAAGTATTTGTACTTGAGTATTTCCATCTCATGCTACTTCATAATACTTATTCATCCTGCTTAATGGGTACTTTTACTTTTGATGCTAATAACGTAATACTTTTTTTAATTGTAGAGTATATTTTTGTGGTGTTTCTTCTTTTACTTAAGAAACACACACAGCAGACGTACAGTACAGCGTCCGTGATGTGCCACACACACTGGTCCTGGTTCGCATCACTCGTCATCACTCTCGAGCGCCCTTATCTCTCTCCCCTCGGTCCCCTCTCTAACTGCCTCTTCTTTAATGTCTGCCCGGGGTCCCCCGAGAGCCTGTATGTCTGTAGTTGCTGTCACAGGCCATTGTGCCGCACACAAAGAGCCCGAGTCCACTCCAGTTTTGGGTCCATTCATAAAAAGCAGCGGTGCGTGAACCGGGCTCTCCCTCCAGTCCCAGGAACCAGTGATAGCAGAGACGTTGATCAAAAGCCAGTCAGACAAGACGAAGAGTAAAGGGCGGACTGGGTGGGTGGGCGGGAGTATGTTTGGTTGCAATGAATGAAGACATGGGCTGGGAAAGGTTTCTCTGGAGCTTAGAATAGTCCCCCTCTCTTGTCACTTTTTTTTTTGCTACAACAAGCTTTGTGTTTATGCCAGAACCATGGTAATTAATGAGCAGAAATGAATGCATTCATGAGAGGAATTCATATGTTTGCCTTAAATACTGTTTATCAAAAACATCATAATGCATTATATTTGAAAATTGTGTTTAATAGATCTTGATGAAAGAGAAGCAGCTGTAAGATTTAGCACCGATCTCAAAACATTTTCATTTAAAACGTCTCCTTTCCCGCCTTTCCAGAGATGACGCTCCTGTCGTCCCAACCCAAATCCCTGGACTCCACCCCAACCTCGGACTCCACCCCCACCTCCGGCACGGGCACCGAGGACCCAGAGCAGAGGATGCTGGAGAAGAGGTCGAAGGTCATCGAGGAGCTGCTGCAGACGGAGAAGGACTACATCAAAGACCTGCAGATGTGTGTCAAGGAGATCATCGAGCCGCTGCAGAAGAAGCAGGTAGAAAAACACGTGAACATTGTGCGGCTGAAGGTCTGACACCATACAAAACGTTGGATCTACATGTTCGATCAGATGCATTTAGAATTGTAGGATGGAGTGGACACGACGTGTGTGAAATACGATATCCACTTTCAATGGAAACTGTTTTACAATAGAGAAGAGAAATGAGCAGAAAGTTTGAAAGAGAGAAAGTTTTTGATCATATTTAGGATAAGGCGATTACCTGGGAAATAGAAAACCCTGGATATTTAAATAAAACAGAATAATAAAATAATAATAAAAGAAATTGAGAAAATCTCTCCGCACTGACTGACTTACCTTAGCAGCTGAGGATTAACTCGGTTTAGTTTCTGACTGCGTGGCCTTCTCCTCTGCATATTTCTTTTTTGTTTTACCGACCAACTGCTAACTTGAGTTGAGGAGGCACCTGGGAACGTGGGAGAGAATGATGAGAGACATAGATAAGGTGTTTACATACCACAGTGTCATGCTTTTTATCTGAGCACTCCAGCTGGTATCACCACGTTTCTCAGAAGTGGAATAAGGGCTTAACACAAAACTGTTTACATGCACAAAACATAAGCAGGACACTCCAGGGTACTACTGTGTCAGTTAACAGCACATTGTTTTAACTCTTTCTTTCTGCCTTTCCTGAAGGTGAAGAACGTGGACTTTGATGGGCTCTTTGGCAACATCAGCTCTGTGATCGACTTGTCGCAGCGCCTGCTCGACACACTGCAGGAGACAGACTCTATTGGTAAGGAGCCAGTTTTTGAAAGACGCGTGAAGTCGTCTGAAGTTATTGTTTTACCAACGGGCCAATCAGACGGCTTCTTTCAGCATGCTGTGCTTGTACTTGATTAGTTTCAACCACGAGCTGTCACCTGATCATGTTTTATTGGCTGAGCAAGACTTTGAACACAATTTGAACCGTTAGAAGACGTAAAGGGAAGGATGATAATAAACAGTTATGTTTGATTATTCAATGATTTATGGAAAGAATGATCAATAATCACAGATATGTGTTTTTAATTCTTTGTTTACATGGAAACTGCCAACCCAAAAATTCAGATTTTTGTCTTTATTGACCCAATTTCTTTGTGTGTGTGTGTGTGTGGGTGTAATTATTTGTGTTATATCATTTTTGTCCTTTCCTGTTTAAATAAACTCTTGGCCTTATGTCTCTGTATCCTGTCGTCTCAGGAAAAGTATTTGTGGACTTCAAAGCCGAGCTGGAGGAGGTGTACAAGATCTACTGTCAGAACCACGACGATGCCATCTCTCTGCTGGAGAGCTACGAGAAAGACGAAAACATCCAGCGCCATGTGTTGGAGTGTCTGGACAGACTGAGGTGAGTCACTGAGAGGAAGGGAAAAAAAAAAAAAAAAAAAACAGTGTGAAAAGGTTCACTCACTAGTTTTAGCTCTGGATTTCTGCTTTGACCTGTGTGTTTGACTTAGAAAAAATTCTTGTGCATGTGCGTGAACAATGACGTGCACGTTCGTGTGTGTATAAGCATGAAGACAAAGCAAGACCGGCCACTAATACAAAGTCAAACATTAACTGTAAAAGGCTCGTGATCATGTTTGTAGCAAAGGGAGTTGTTCTGTTCAGCGTGTGTTACCTTAAACCCCGTCAAAATTGGACTTTGGTTTGAATAAGATTCACTGTAGTAAATAATTTTCCCACGGGGATTTTTCATGTTTTGAAAATGTGACATTGTTATGGAGTTCAAGACCACTGCAAGGTTTCCTGTTAGCACATATTCACATGGAATTAATTTATGACGGGATTTCAAAGCAGACTTTGAACTTTAATGTGTGGGCAGGTTAGGAGAAGGAAGAACAGTCACAGCAAATCTTTAAAAGGAAGAAATGCTTTTTTTTTTCTTTTTTTTTTTTTTTGTCTGAAACATATTTGTGCTTATAGTCTATAACCTGCCATTTTTCTGTGCGCACTCCATCTCATAGTGTTTCTATAGCTCTCAGTAATGCGGAGCAGTTAAAGAATGTGCCCTGCCCCGGTTTCACCTGTCTAGTTTCACCATCAGTGACTCAGACGTGTTTCTGGGAAATATGGTCAGCAATTCCTGTTTGAAGATAAACACAGGTTTGTTAGACCGGAAGCTTTAAGGAAAAAGAAAAAGAAAAGGGCGACGGTTCCAAGAACGAATCTGCATAAAGAAAAGTAAAAGGACAATATACAGCTCAGAGTGTCCACACTGACAAACCCCTGTTGTTTTTCTATACATTTTAGTAAATTTACCGTTAAGTTTGCAGCCTCATTATTGGCTGTGTGTGTGTGTGTGTGCGAACCTATTCAGCTTTGAGAAGGTCATGTGTGCTGCCACCTCTTAGAAACAACATGTTTTACTGCCTCTCTGGGCCTCTGTCCACGTTTAAGAGAGAATTCACGAAACAAAACCATAACAACCACGAGTGCAGTTGCCGTGAGCAAAGTCCAAGTGAAATTCTGTGGGTTTAAACTGATCACGGAAACACATCCTGTAGATTTTTTTTTTTTTTTTAAAGTTCTGCAGAATTAAAGATTTCATGAACGTTGTCATCAGGTCACGGCTTATAAATCCTGTCTTTGTTATCTTTCTATCCCTTTTCCATTCTTCCCCCCGACAGGGCCATGTACCGAGAGTGGTAAGTCGTGTCGTCATGATTTCCAGCATGAGAATCATCGTGACCGCATGCCTTTTGCTCACTAACCCCTGAGGAAATGACCCCTTTGTGTGTGTGTGTGTGTGTGTGTGTGTGTGTGTGTGTGTGTGTGTGTGTGTGTGTGTGTGTGTGTGTGTGTGTGTGTGTGTGTGTGTGTGTCTGATAACTAAAAATCTAAGTGTGCTGAGTGTGGAAGACTTTAAAAGCATTTGCGCTGGGATTTATCAGGCCATTTCAGTGTCCTTCCCTGGATCGAGATGGACTCATAACCATACTCTGTCGTTTGTGTTTGCATGTGCATGTGTGTGTTGTGTGGTATTGTTGTGAAAAGAAATATCCAACATTGTCCATGACACTGTTCTCTTCCCCTCTTATAATGTAACTGTTGATCCTGGGAAACACATTTAATGCCATCTTCTGGACTAAAACAGCATCAGCAATTCACAGATAATGTTTTCTTAATATTATGAGATGATTTTTTTTTTTTTTTTGTCATTGTTAGATCTTTTCTCATTTTTTATGAGAGTGCTGTAAACATGATTGTCTGAAAGTTCTCTGATTAAATGTAAAATGTGTGCACTCACATGTTTTACTTGTTCAGAGCTGGAAATGACTTTTCCTTGGCAAACAAGACGCCTTAAATCAAACACCAGTTTTCCAATAAAAAGATATTATCTTGTCCTAATAAGATCATTCTTTTCTGCCATGCATCAAATCAAATCCCATTTTGACTCTAAACAACCAAACTATGGAGTTGATTTGTTTGAAGTTCCTGAGCTGTTTGTCCTCTAGATTGCATTATAACTAAGCAAATCAATTTTGTTTAACATATTGTGCCTTCCCTGTTCTCTCATGTCTCCCAAAAACTCTATTTGTCATCATCAGAATATATGCATATATGATGATGTTGTATATCATTGGATCATGTAATCCACATGATACAAAGACGTGTTACATGAACATGGGAAGAAACATTTCACATTAGTTGTGCCTGTGACCTTAATGCTGCCTGTGTGAGAGGCTCTCATACTTATTCTCATTCCTCTGCGGTCTCCTAATCTTTTGTTTTTTCCAGGGGTAAAACGAATTACATCAATCTCGGTTCCTTCCTCATCAAGCCGGTGCAGCGGGTCATGCGTTACCCGCTGCTGCTGATGGAGCTGCTGGGGGCCACGCCGGAGAGCCACCACGACCGGCCCCAGCTGCATCAGGCTCTGCAGGCCGTCAAGGAGATCAACGTAAACATCAACGAATACAAACGCAGGAAGGACCTTGGTAAAAAAAAAAAAAAAAAAAAATCCCTCACAATCTTCTGTGCTCGCTGTTTTTGCCGTTGTATGTAAAATGTGTGAGTCCTGAGTTTCCTGTCTCAAGCTTTCCCTCTGCTGTCCACAGTGGTGAAGTACAGGAAAGGGGACGAGGACACGTTCATTGACAAGATCTCTAAGCTGAGCATGCACTCCATCATCAAGAAGTCCAACCGAGTCAGCAGCCACCTCAAGCACCTCACGGGAATTTCACCCCAGGTACATCACTGCCCCGAGCTGACGTCTTAACCCAAATGAAATTCCGTATCCAGGTTGAGGAAAGACTATCGGAGTGTTGTGAATGAAAACATGCCGGCTCAAACCTTCTGCCTTTCCCTCCAGATTAAAGATGAAGCATTTGACGAGGCTGAGAAGAAGTTCAGGCTGCAGGAGAGACTCATCAAATCTTTTATCAGGGACATTTCCTTGTACCTGCAACACATCAGGGTAAGAGCCTGTTACCATAGTGACAGAACAACTCATTTTGTGATACAGAACCTGAAAGTGGTTTTACTCAGAAATACTGTGTTTGTTTGTTTCATGCCATTTTGTGAATGTCCATGTTCGTATTTAAATATTTTGTATTAATTTACTGTTTGAGCATAATATTCATATGAGCAAAGACATACGGCGAACGTTAAAGGTGGAAAGTTAGAAACGATATGTCCAACGTTTGTAAATGACATATATGTTCAATAACTCTTAATTTATAATGATATGGCTCAATATTGTGTTATACTACACCAACACTGTTCATCAGAATAATAATGTAAAATTATCCTGCGAGAGGAAAAGATTCATAGATGGATTATCTGCAATATAAAATGTGCGATATATTTTATTTTAATTTATGTATTTAACACATACATATTTTGTAATATAATATTTTTGGATTGTAACTGAAAATCCATCTCTTCAGGAGTCAGCGTCCGTGAAGGTCTTGGCCGCCATCAGTTTCTGTGACATCTACACAGAGCGCAGTGTGCTGGACCCCGAGCGCTTCCAGAGAGCTCACCGCTGCATCAGCGACAAACAGTTCACACAGTTTGTAAGTCTTTCGGTTCAGCCTCACTCAGTTGCTGTAAAAGTGCATTTTTGGAATGACCACTGATCACATCAAATTATCTGTCAACCCCCTCCCCTCAATTGCCTGAGTAGAAGGAGCGCACAGAGGCCTTAGTCATCAACCCGCTCACCCAGCTGCTCCTCATGTTCGCTGGGCCGCACAAACTCATCCAGAAGCGCTTTGACAAGCTGCTGGACTACGACAACTGCAAGGAGCGAGCCGACCGCCTCAAGGACCGCCGTGTCCAGGAGGACCTGCAGGTGGCGCGCAACAACTACGAGGCGCTCAACGCGCAACTTCTCGATGAGCTCCCCAAGTTCCACAGTGCAGCGGAGGACCTGTTCACCGGCTGTGTGAGGGCCTTCGCTCAGTCTCAGAAAGACTTCATGAAGACGACGCTGGGAGAGCTGAAGCCCCTCCTCCAGGTTGTGAGTGTGTCTTTGTTTATGGGGGATTTTTTTTTTTTTTTCATGAATATTTGTGGACATTATTAAATGCACTCATTGCGCTACTAATGCCTTTCTCTTTACCCGGATCTCCAGTTTTCGAACAAAGTCGGCATGGAGGGCAACCTCATCGCACAGTTCCAAGAAGAGTACGGTCGAGTTCTCCAGCTTCTGCAGAGCTTTAGCTTCTGCCCGGAGAACCTGCCTCCAGCCGCCTCCACAAAGAAGCCCTTTGAGAAGAAGACCCTGGAGAAGCAGACCTCTAAAAAGCAACTGCAGGGACCCGTGAGTTGAACTCTCATCCCATTTCTGCAATTTCATATTTTTTAATAACCGCTGTCACATGAACTAATCGGGAGTCTCGTCCTTTTCGCTCTCAGCCAAACTACATCATGCAGACAGAGGAGCACCGCGCAGGACTTCTGGTACGCTACGGCCCTGAGAAGCTTTTCCAGGCTGAGAGGAACTTCAATGCTGCCCAGGATCTGGATGTCTCTATACTAGAGGGAGATCTTGTTGGTGTGATCAAGCAGCAGGACCCCATGGGAAGCCACAACCGCTGGCTAATTGATAATGGAGGTTGGTCATTTGTATTCCAAGACCTGACTTAATATATTTCACAAATCAGCCACTTGTTTTTATGCCTTAGCCTCTGCCAGTAGAAAAGAATGTTGCAGCAATAAAATCTATTTCCTTGTCTTTTTTTGCAGTCACCAAGGGTTTTGTGTACAGCTCCTTCCTCAAACCTTACAACCCACGCAGAAGCCAGTCAGACGTGTCCATCGAGAGCCAGTCCTCTAATGAGTCGGGCTACGGCGGCTCCTCCCCGGTTTTCTCCCGCCAGAACAGCAACAGCACTCTGACCTTTAACCAGGAAACAGCCACCGTCAGCTTTTCCACATCGCAGCATCAGAGCCATTCGTCGCCGCACCCGTCGCTGGACTCAGCCTCCTATCGGAGGAGTCACCACAGGGATGCGCTCAACCCCGACTCTGCCAGTCAGAGCAACTCCATAAACTCCTCTCCCCGAAATCCCTCAAACCGAAGGGAATTTTTAGACCAAACACACCGAAACTCCCCGAGTCACAGAGACACAGAGCCTTCATACCGCCACTCAGGCAATCACAGAGACTCCTATGATACGAGTTATGCAAGTTCCAGCAGCCACAAGGAAACGTCGGACCTCTCGGAGACCGACTCTTCCTCTTCGCACAGGAACAATCACTCACAGCGATATGGGCACACAGATAAATCCTACAGTTCGTACCAGTGGAGAAATGGAGATAATGGTGGCCAGAAGAAGTCCGTTTACTCCAGAGATGAGTACATCGAGCCGGAACCAGAACCAGAACCAGAACCAGAACCAGAACCAGAACCAGAACCAGAACCAGAACTAGAACCAGAACTAGACCCAGAACCAGAACCAGAACCAGAACCAGAGCATGACAGTGAATTGGATGGTCATCAGGTGAGATTTTGTTTGATACTAAGATGTATTGTGTGTTTATAATAAGACTTTTACCATACCAAAAGTTTTGTCTGATAAAAGTGGATTAACCAGCTTTTAAAAGATAAAATCTATTGAATGAAAGCGTATTATCACTTGACTCTGCGCTTTCTCTCAGATCTATGGGGCCTTTTAGTTTCTTTAAGCTCATTTTTTAAATTTTATTCTGTTCACGGCCTGCAGCTTTAAAGTTTGTTCTCACTGCTCTGATCAAGCTTGTTTCCACCAGAAGCAGGCAACTGTTTTCAACAGATCAAGAACAAATATGATCACAGAAAATCAAACATGAACAAACAACAGAACAGCAGAACAAACTAGCAAGCAAACAAATGAGGGAGACGGCTCATCTTGGCTCGACCGCTAATGAGAATGAATATGTTTTAAGCTGAGATTTGAAAGTGTTGATGGGTGGGGCAGATCTGATCGACATGCGGAAGCTCAGTCACCTCCAGTGCGTTTAAAGTCGGCACAAGGGTCGGTCAGGAGGTCCTTGTCTGACAATCTGAGGGGCCTTTAATAGGTCATTGATGTAGGGAGGGGCTAATCCATTCATGGCTTTTAACACAAACAGTAAGACCTTTAAAATCAATGCTAAAATGAACTGGCAGTCAATGGAGAGAGGTCAGCATAGGGGTCCAGTATACAGGGAGTTACACTAGTGAAGCCAGAATAGAATATGAGAACATGGATAACTTTTTTGTAAGTCACTGAATGAGAGGAAAGGTTTTGTTTTGGTGATGGTACGAGGCTGAAAGAAACTACAGCAAAAGGCTCCTGGGGGAGCCCCAGGAGCTGCTGGAGATCAAGAACAGAGCTACAATGAGAATAAATGTTGGACATAAATTTGTTAGGTGGCCAGAAACAGGGCTCCAAATGAATACTAATGTTACACTATGTCTGGTGATGTTTAAAACAACCGCTTATTGCTAACACTTACAACCTTGATTATATGTCAGTGTTGCTGCCACCAATCAGAAAAAAATGATTAATACTATTTTAAAACACAAACTAAGGATCACATTGTGTTTATTTTTATTTTTTCAGATTTACTACGCCCTCTACTCCTTCAACGCCCGCTGCGCCAACGAACTGAGCATCTCAGCCAATCAGCGGCTGCGGATACTGGAGTTCCAGGACATGAACGGCAACAGCGAATGGTGGCTGGGCGAGGCGGGAGGCCGACGAGGCTATGTGCCTTCCAATTACATTCGCAAATCAGAATACACATGAACAGCTGATATCACGCGGATGACACCTGAGACTGCACTTCGACCTTAAGAAGACTCACTCTGTGAGCGAGCAGAACAAAAAGACAAACAAGCATGTTTGCGTGGTGGCGTATTTTTGATCTGTTGTCATGCAGTTTGATTAGTGAGAAGGACTGACTTGCTGCTGACTCTGCTCCTGAAAGTTAGCATTATATGCCTATATTTATAGACTTTTTTTAAAGTTTTTTTTTTTTTTTACTTTCCGGAAACTGGACCCCACCCCCATTTGTTTCCAGTGGAAAACCTGTGAATTGCACCAGACTTTTGCCATATACTCTGGAGCTGAAGACAATGAATTGTATGTTTAAGAGAGCGGCCTTTAAGGTTGGCACGTTGGGAGATTACAATGGAAATGTGAAGGTTTTGGGTTCAGATTGCTTCCTGTAACATCAAGTGATATGCACAGAGACTGAACACCTGAACACTGTGTTAATTACTCTTTTCTTCATGTGGTTCATGACATCACTAGAATGACGCATGAATATTAGATACATTTACACCATACTGTTCAACAATCAAGGTTTGAGGCACTTATGATGGTCATCCATTGGTTGCAAGTTTGAAGTGTCTGTGGAGCCATCAACAAGAATGTGGAGTGTTGTATGAAATTAACATTGACTGTTTGAATGAAGACCAAGGACAAAGTTGAATGGCATATGTAATACAGTTTACAAATACTCCCCTTGAACTTTTTGAATACATTTTTTTACTGGGTTGACACTGTGTAAACAGGTGATGACCCATTTTACCTGTAAGAGGAGGTTAACGAACAGGGAGAGAGAGACTGTGGTCTGATCTTAACTATGATTTCTCCACATGCTCCCCATGTACATTATATATATATATACATATATATAATGTAATATATATATATATATATATATAGTGCTGTACAGTTTAAAAATGCTATTGCACCCACTGTAAAGTGATCACTGTTTGAATAAAAGACAGCTCAGCTGACAAATATTGACAGTCTGAAATGGGTTTTTGTTCACGTTTTATCTGTAATATCAAAGATCAGTGTTGGCACACTGTCATAGTGTCATATACTGTTTATATACTTGGCTTTTTTTAGGGTCATTAATGACAGACCACAAAATGATGTAATCAGCCATCATTACATTTCAGAGCTTCCCAACAGCACATGAACTCACCACATAGACATTTTTAAAAATAAATCTACTCTTTCAACTGTTCAACAATGATGCAAATTTGACAAAAATAAACATGCATAACATGTTCTTCTGTGATATACTGTATAGTTTAAGCAGATTTCTAAATTGCATGTTCCATCTGAAAAATATAAGATATATATTTTAAAACATATTTAAGCAATTTAAAAAAGTATGATATAATCTGTAAGACGTTAAACAAATAAAGCTACTGTATGCTAAAACATCAGTATGGTTCTATGGTTCAAGTATAGTAGCAATTACTTTCACAGTTTATTATTATATTAACATTTTACTGCAGCCATGAAGAAGAATATGTACAGTTAAATACAGAACAATGGTGTTTGCATATTGCAAAACACAAAGAAATACATAAAGATTGCAAATTGCAAATCATTTGACAGAATATCAGCTGCTCGCTTTAGCAAAGCAAATCTCCTGTGCATTGAGAAACCTCAGGTCACTCAGTACAAAACTGATGACTACAAACAGACTTTAAAGATTTTAAGGAGAACTTTACTCAAGTCAATTTTTAAATCGTACAAACTGTGACAACAGTTTAGTCTAGCATATTTCTTTATAGTAAATGAGAGCTACTTGCTAATTAATTTTTTCTGATGACCTAAACAAAAAGAAAAGTCACAGGACAAAGAAAAATGCAAAGTGAATGACATGTAAAATCAATGTAAAATCAATGCAGGGTACTGATGATTAACAGGTGGGTGGAGTGGTTTGAGGTCCTCATGTTTGAGGGGGATTATTTAAAACTGCCTGAGCAAAAAGCAAAGCATAGTCTTATTCTGGCCCCATCATGGCCAACATGGTCTGCTTAATAGCTTTGCTCACACAACTGTGTGCACTCACTGCGTTTGGACAGGACCTATTTGTAAGTATGCATACATGCAGTTTGTCTGAAATGTGGAATCTGAGCATTTATTAATATTTTGGAAGGGATATAATGCTTCAGAGCAAAACTGAGTCAGGTTGATAAATAAGAGACACATTTTGATTTTGTTACAGGTAATCACAGAACCAGAAGACACTGATGGTAAAGACGCTTTAAGCTTTGCTTAGTTTGCAGTTAACCAAAATTCCACTTTACTGAACGTCTTAATGGCTCTTTTTCCTCACAGCTTATGAATACTATTATGATTATGGTACTGAAAGCCCAGCAGAAGATGCTGATTTGACTGCAGATGACTGGTTGTACGATCTAATGGATATCACAAGTAAGCACTCAAATAGGAACAGTGAGAGTTTGATTACCTGCATACACTGAATGCAGTTTAACTCAGATATCCTCTGTCTTAAGATGTATTGATCAAGTCATCTACCTGATGCAGATACAATCTATCGCACTTTGACTCCTGACTAAATTTTTTCTTTTTCTTTAGTCTTTTTGTCGACAGGTAAAACTTTACATGAGGAATCCATGTTAACAAGCATTTCACATAATTCTATCTCCATTTAGACGAGTGTGATCCAAACCCATGTTTGAATGGAGGTAGCTGTGACACTGCTACTCATGGGGGCTTCGTATGCGTGTGCCCTGAGCCTTACTCAGGGAAGAAGTGTCAGACAGGTAGGACTGTCTACCTGTGCTCATCCATGTGACTCAAGAGAGGGATCTGGTTAAACATCTGAGACGAATATGTCTTTGTAATTATTGTGTGTCGATATTCTTCACTGACATGAGTGGCAGAAAGTAACTAAGGGTTGTGCATTTACTGAAATATATTTAAGTACAATTTTGAGGTACTCTACAAATTAAAACTTCACATCGACAAACATATGATAAACTTATAAAATACCGTGTAACACTCCATACAAGAAGCAATCAGCCCCTTTTCACAGGTTCCATTTGTCTATGAAATGTTAGCAGTTCCAATAACTTTTTTTTAGATATCCAAAACTTTAATACAAGTTTGTGTAGCAGAACTTTTTTTTGTGGTCTTTCTGACCTTATTAATCATCTCACAAGCCCTGAGATTTATGCAGTGACCCATTAATGGGGCCCAACCCCTATGTTGGGAACCATGGGACTAAACTACTTAAAAAGAGTAGTTAAAACTACCTACACATTGACCAGTGACAACAGTAAAATGCTTATGTTCTTTTACTTACATGTAAGTATAGAATAAGGACTTTTGCTTGTAGTGGAATATTTTTACATTGTTGTGTTGGTATTTTTACTCAAGTAAAGGTTTAGAGTACTTTAGCTTTCAATTCAATATCCTGAGATTTTTAACATTTCCTAATTTAGGGCTGACCAAAAAAAATCTGACAATTTGTGAGAAATAGAAGCATAATTCTGCCTGTATACTACAATATTGCTACAGTGAAGCTGCAGCACTGTGTGTAGTATCAAAAAAATCCCAACTTTGGTGACCCCTAGTGGAAATGTCAAAAACAACATCCTGTGAGTAGGAAAAAAATCCTCACATATTATGTTATAATAAAAAGAATTTGTTCTAAATTCAGCTTTTAATTATACTTATTCCTGTATGGATCGGGTTAAAGTTAATATGAACTAAATCAAATGAATGTACCATGTGGTTTTTTTTTTCAGTGAAAGATGTTTGTAAGAATGTGAAATGTGGCCACGGAAGTTGTGTTGTCACATCTACTCCTCCATTCCACGAGTGCAAGTGCAAGCCTCCATTCAAACCACCCAACTGCAAGAAAGGTCTGCTTTATCATGGGATCATTTTAGTGAATAATTAACATGACAACATTTTGTTTGCAATAAAGTTCTTTGCAGTCAGAGGGAGACACTTATTCTTTTACCTGTGTCCACAGCTTCTCCCTGCAGGCCCAATCCCTGTCAGAATGGAGGCTCTTGCCTAAAGGGCCCTAAACGCTCCTCGTTCCAGTGTTCCTGCCCTGAAGGACACAGTGGGAAATTCTGCGAAGTTGGTGAATACAATTCTCTTCCTGTCCTAAATAGAAAAACCACACTTTAAAACCAGCGTAGCTTTTCCACCTTCTAAGAGCCCAGATATTACCCGGCTGCAGAGCAATTAAAAGTCAGTGGCACACTGTGATTCTAGGACCAAACGACTGTTACCAAGAGGACGGAGAGTTTTACCGCGGCATGGTGAGTGTGACACTTGAAGGGGAGGAGTGTCTGGACTGGAATTCCTATTTCATCCTGCAGAACGGAGGAGATCCCTTCAACGAGTATGCAGGCTATGATGGAATAGGACCGCACAATTACTGCAGGTGAGGAGTCATCTTGTGTAAATACTGCATATGTCAGCTATTGATATAATCTTGTGTGTGTCCATTTGTACATGTGAGGTATGCACTGTGCAAAACTTGTGTTTGCTGATGCAATTACATGAAAATGTGCAGCTTCTTTAAATGTTTTTGTTAAAATGAGATCATTATAGATTAAGTAATAGGCTGTTGAAATGCAGATTGTTTTTTGTTTTTTTGCTGTATCTTGTGACTTTAAAAAAGATGGAATAAATGTGGTATTGAGCTTTTTAATCCTTGTACTGAAATCTTTCTGCATTCAAGGAACCCTGATGGAGATGATCAGCCCTGGTGCTTCATTAACAAAAATGGCAAACTGAAGTGGAACTATTGTAAAGTCAGGAAATGTTCTGCAAGTAAGCACATGTAAACACACACACACACACAACACACAGATCCTTCCTCTCATTTGATCTTTTTACGTTTCCCTCCCAGCTCCAGCTACCTCGCCAACCATAAGTGTAACAGATCCAGTGCCAGTCAAGCCGGAGGTCACCATTGCTGAGCAGTTCTCCGAGTGTGGGAGGCCGCAGCCCGGCCGCTCGGCCAGGATCTTCGGAGGGAAGAAGTCTCTTCCTGGGGCTCATCCTTGGCAGGTTTCCCTGCAGACCAGACCCAAAGGCTCCTCCGGGCCCTTCAGCCACATCTGTGGTGGCATCCTCCTGGAGTCCTGCTGGGTTCTCACTGCTGCACACTGCATGTAAGCTCCAGTATCCCTGTTGTTTTGACATATACAAGCTGTTTGATCATTGTTTGATGTAGATTTGTACGTGGACACACTCTTGATTGAATTTTCCTTGGGGACGGTTTGTTTGTCCAGTAAAAATGGAGTGGAAATGCAGGTGGTGCTGGGAGGAGTGGACATAGAGAAGGATGAAGTATACGATCAGGTCATTGCTGTGGAGAAGGCCGTTGTGCATGAGGAGTACAAGGAGACGCCCTTTGCCCTTCATAATGATATTGGTGAGGTGCTGTTGTGTGTAATTATGATCGACTGATTCTGCAGCTTGGTAAATTTAATGCAAGAGATGTTACTGATGATCCGTTCTTTGCTGTGTGCCTCTCCTGTGCAGCCATGCTTCAGCTGAAAGTCACAGACAAACCGTACTGTGCCAAAGAAACCCGCTTTGTGAAGACAGCCTGCCTACCGAGGCAGACCTTCAGCAGCGGCACGGAGTGCGTGATCTCAGGATGGGGTGTGACTGAAACACGTAAGTGTCATTTCAATGTGTACTATCAGCTACTGACTGCACATCATCAGTCTGAGTTGATGGGGTCAGTGTTTGCAGAATGGTAGTTAGTATTTAGCCAAAACTATAGATTAAGTAGTTTTGAGAACATCAAATGAAAAGAACAAGATTAAACCAATAAAACGGACAATGTTTTGAACCTTGGCAGCTCATGGATATTCAGCCAATTCACCTAGGCCTATATCACGCATTTACATCGGAAAACAGGGTAATGTCATTTTTACTCATTCATTTCAAAGTCTGTCATTTCAAGTACTGTTATGTTTTCCTTTTCTAAATGTCAGAAAACAAATCACTGCAAAAGACATTAGTTAATTAGATAGTCAACAGCCATGAGAGTTTGAAAAATACTTATTAGTCTGCCCCAGAGAGCCGTTTAAATATTGACATGATATTGTATCAGATTTTGTTTTGATTACTAAAGTGAATAATATGATTGTGTCAGCAATGTCCAATGTGTATTTCTGTGCATTTATTATGGTGTACAGTTCATTTTCTTCTTCAAACCACTTACCTTGTAAGTGTAAAGTGTAAGTGCCAACAATGTATACACACTCTTAAGTATTTGCCAACACTGTTCACATGACAAAGGTAACCACAAGGCAAGGTATCATACCAAAATGACTTTTAAAATGTAGCATATGGGAAACATTTGCAGCACGTCAGAATGTTTATGAACCCTGCAATTACACAACTCACACAAAGGAAAATTAATGAAAAATGACAGTTGTTTCTTTAGTTCTCTAGCTTAGGACCTGACTAAATAAATGCATTTGAACTTCATAGTTAATCTTTCTTTTTCAGAGAAGTACGGTACCAACCAGCTGCTGGATGCTCGTGTCCTCCTGATCTCTCAGGAGAAATGTAAAGAGCCCCATGTGTATGGAGACACTCTGGACGACAGCATGTTCTGTGCGGGGAACATGAAAGGAGGCGTTGACTCCTGCCAGGTGTGTGCATGTGCATGACATGTTTGCTTTTTTTCTATGCGGGAGAGATGTGATCATTGTTAAGCCTCCTCTCTGTCCCCCCTCCCCCCTGCAGGGTGACTCTGGTGGCCCTCTGGTGTGTGAGCGTAACGGGACGCATTATGTTGTTGGTGTGGTGAGTTGGGGCGACGGCTGCGGGAAGAAGTACAAGCCTGGCGTCTACACCAACGTCCGCAGATTTGATGACTGGATCGCTTATCATTTACTCACACAATTTCGCACTTAAGAATTACAGACAAGCTTCCAATATCCTGTTGTAAAAAACAAAAACAAAACAAAAACAATCCCCTACCTCCATAAAAATGACTTAGAGCTCTCACTCCATCACCAGGATGACAATGCCAAACTTGTGGCACATTACCTCATATATGTATCATTGTTGTAAGTCATAAATACCTCACTGTGGTGTATTTACATTACTATTCCACTGCTATAGTTCTCTCAGTTTTTGTAAGCTTGCTTGCAACAACACCGAATAAAGAGTCATATAAAAGGAACTTCAGGATTTCCGAGTGAGTCACTTAATCCGACACATTTATCAATAATTTGTTCATCCTTGTGAATCTTATGAGTTCATATTAAAAGGGATACACAAGCTGTGTAAATTACAATGATGATTGCAATAATTGGTTTTTAAGATGTTGTGCCCACATTTGTTGAGTTTGCTTTGAACGTTATTGACCCTGGCTATCATATTTTTTAAAAAGCAAAGTCTCTGTCATGTGTGTTGAGTTTAATCCATTCTATTTACACGCTGGTCTATGTGGGCTCTTTCAGTTAAGTAAAGGCCTGGCAGCTACAATAATACCTCTTACAGTCACAACAAACTCAGCTTAAATCTCGCACTCTGGTGGAGTGAGATTTGATAAATGATTTTTCCCCTAAGAGACACATTTGTGGGGATTCTAGTACTTGTGGTTGTTTATGCCTGCTTTTGAGTTCTCTCTTTTTTTTTCTCCTGTAGCTACAGTAAGGTTTAAGTAAGGTGTAAAAGTTCTATAATGTTCAATGTTCTCAAGAAAGCTTTTTAAATATAATTCCTCTGATCATAGATATGCCCTGTTAATATTCATTCTACAAATGCAAACAAAACTGCTGAGTGAAAGTTTGCTCATAAAGAGTTTAAAGTCTGAATTGGCAGGCATTGTATAAAGGTAAGTAAGACAAGGTTAAATACATGAAACCATGGGCCAGAATGAGTGAGCAATGGCCTAAAACACACAGACTCCCACAGAATCAATGCAGCTAGCTAAAGATTGACAAGTATGAGGGCTGAGCAGGATATTGAGGAGGTTCGGGATATTAAAGTCAAACACAGGATCTTTGGTCTTACAAATTGAGAGAGTTACATTCAGCACCATGTTGGCTGCAGGGGCCCTGCTCATAAGCCTGAGTGTACTTACTGTTCATGGACATGACCTGACTGTAAGTTTCTTCATGTCTTTATGAATAAATCAATCAGGGGGATTTTTTGAATCATACAGATTATGTAACGAAATCTTACTGATTTGTTCTGTGCTGTGATTTTGTCATTTCAGCTGGACAACATGTGTAAGAATCTTTTCAGTACTTGATCTACTACTACTGATTTATATTTCCAAAAAATCCTTCTTCAAATCTTGGGACTTGTAATATTTTGTTTACCTCTTTTTTGAAATAAGAAATTCAATGGTTTCAATGCTTAAAAGTTGTATTTCTCTTTTTTGCCATATCTATGTTACCTATACCATGTGGTTTGTTTCATCCTGTATTGTATTATCCTGCACTACATGCTTGTATAAACCCCTGTGTTTAAACAACTATTTGCATATGGCAGACATAGATTATGCAGACTACACCACAGATGCCCCGGACATTCTTTTTGATGAAAATGACTGGTTGTTTGACCTCCTGGAGGAATCCAGTAAGTGGCCCTGGAAGACTGTGCGTAATTGTGTTTCCATCTTGTTGTTTAGATCCATCCAGAGTTTCACTTTCACACTTTTTTGCCTTTTCCAGATGTTTGTGACCCAAACCCTTGTTACAATGGTGGCTCATGCCAAACTAAACCAGATGAACAATTCGAATGCTCGTGTCCTCCACCTTACAGAGGCAAGAGGTGTCAAAAAGGTAGGTAGGGATTCATGATAAGGTAATTTTGTTATTTTTTCTTTTTTATGTATAGGTCTGGTTTAATTGGTTACAAAACATGTAATTGGATATAAAATGTTTATGTGCAAGACTAACACATATGGTGCTTATGGTTAACTGATGACTTGTTTTGCTCTTCAGTCAGAAACATTTGTGAAAATGTCAAATGTGGTCATGGTGACTGTGTCATCAACCTAAATAAATCCCCATATTACGAGTGCAAGTGCAAACCTCCATTCCAAGGCCCAAACTGCAAGTCATGTGAGTAATCTCAAAAATCTCTTAGACTAGACTCTGCACAATAATGTATTCACCCATTATATACAACCCATATAAAACAGGAAAATAACCAATAACCACATCTACATATAAACAGTAATTTAACCTCAAACGCTGGATCCCACATCTTGAAGTCATCAGTGTCAAACAACTGTGCAACTGTCCAGACTTCCTTGCTACACCCCTACTATTACATATACTAATCAATTGTTTGTCTTGTCTGCATCAGTGCCAGCTTCTCCCTGTGAACCCAATCCTTGCCAGAATGGAGGTTCTTGCGTTAAAGGGAACCGTCGTTTCCGCTGTGTTTGTCCTGATGGATATACCGGGATATTCTGTAAAACTGGTAAAGACTTTATAAAGGACACAGCCAGCCATAAGTCCCACTGATATAACCCCATTCCTTTAAAGGTTGTGTTTGTAGTTACATTTAAGATAATAGAATAAGAATCACATTTTCACAATCTTTTTCTATAGCTAGCAGTGACTGTTATGTAGAGAATGGAGAGACATACAGGGGTGATGTCAGTACAACAGAACAAGGGGTGGAGTGTCTGGACTGGCATTCCAATTTCATCATGTTACATGGGGAGGATCCTTTCAACATGTACTCAGACTTCACTGGACTGGAATATAACAACCACTGCAGGTATTAGACCTTTCACCTTTTCACCCCCCCCCAGGCATAAAAAATGTCATCAAAACGTTATAGTATAGTAAGGCATAAAAAATGTGATAAAAATGTCATAGTATAGTAAGGCATAAAAAAGGTAATACAAATTTAATAGTATAGTAAGGCATAAAAACATCATAGTATGGTAAGGCATGAAAACAGCATAGTATAGTAAGGCATGAATACCTCATAGTACAGTGAGGCATCAAAAACATCATAGTATTGTAAGGCAATAAAAAATGTCATAGTATAGTAAGGGATAAACACTTCATAGTATAGTAAGGCATGAAGAACGTCATAAAAATGTCATAGTATAGTAAGGCATAAAAAATTCATACTATAGTAAGGCATAAAAACATCATAAAAACATCATAAAAAGGTCATAGTATAGTAAGACAAAAAAAAACTTCATACTATAGTAAGGCATAAAGAATGTAATAAAAATGTCATAGTATAGTAAGGCATAATTCATCATAAAAACGTCATAGTATAGTAAGGCATAAAAATATCATAAAAACATCATAGTATAGTAAGGCATAAAAACCTCATAGTACAGTATGGCATCAAATACATCATAGTATAGTAAGGCATAAAAACATCATAAAAACATCATAGTATAGTAAGGCATAAAAACCTCATAGTACAGTAAGGCATCAAATACATCATAATATTGTAAGGCATAAAAAAATGTCATAAAAACGTCATAGTGTAGTAAGGCATAAAAACTTCATACTATAGTAAGGATAGGGGAACGTCATAAAAATGTCATAGTATAGTAAGGCATAAAAACTTCATACTATAGTAAGGCATAAAAAATCATAAAAATGTCATAGTATAGTAAGGCATAAAAAACATCATAAAAACATCATAGTATAGTAAGGCATAAAAACATCATAAAAATGTCAGAGAATAGTAAGGCATAAAAACATCATACTATAGTAAGGTATTAAAATGTCATAGTATAGTAAGGCATGAAAAACATCATAAAAATGTCATAGAATGGTAAGGCATAAAAACATCATAGTATAGTAAGGCATAAAAACATCATACTATAGTAAGGTATTAAAATGTCATAGTATAGTAAGCCATTAAAACTTCATAGTATAGTAAGGAATAAAAACGTCAAAGTATAGTGAGGCATAAAAACCTCATAGTACAGTAAGGCATCAAAAACATCATAATATTGTAAGGCATAAAAAAATCATAAAAATGTAATAGTATAGTAAGGCATAAAAAAGGTAATAAAAATGTCATAGTATAGTAAGGCATAAAAACATCATACTATAGTAAGGTATAAAAATGTCATAAAAATGTCATAGTATAGTAGGGCATAAAGAATTCATACTATAGTAAGGAATAAAGAACGTCATAAAAACATCATAGTATAGTAAGGCATAAAAACATCATACTATAGTAAGGTATTAAAATGTCATAGTATAGTAAGCCATTAAAACTTCATAGTATAGTAAGGAATAAAAACGTCAAAGTATAGTGAGGCATAAAAACCTCATAGTACAGTAAGGCATCAAAAACATCATAATATTGTAAGGCATAAAAAAATCATAAAAATGTAATAGTATAGTAAGGCATAAAAAAGGTAATAAAAATGTCATAGTATAGTAAGGCATAAAAACATCATAAAAACATCATAGTATAGTAAGGCATAAAAAAATGTTATAAAAACGTCATAGTATAGTAAGGCATAAAAACATCATAAAATAGTAAGGCATGAAAACGTCACTGTATAATAAGGTATAAAAATGTCACAGTATAGTAAGGTATAAAAAAAACGTTATAGTATAGTAGGGCATAAAAAGTTAGAGTATAGTAAGGTACAGTATATTAAAATTTATGATATGATGATTTTTTAAAATAGCATACATTTAAAAATTCTATGTTTTTCTTATTAATTTCATGAATTTTAATGTCTATCTTCCCATTCTGGGAAAGTGGTCTCAGACTCATGGACCCTACTGTATATAATATCAACATACATTGATGGGCTTGATATGTACATATATTACATTTATGTATGAGGGGAAACAATACTTTTAATAATATAGTTGTTTCATTATTTTCGCTACAATTTAGGAACCCAGATGGGGATGACAAGCCTTGGTGTTTTTTTAAAAAGCAAAAACAAC